ACATAAAAAGTAAAGTCCTCCTTCACAGATACCACCCCACAACAGACATTGCCTGTTCAGCTGACCCCTCCGCAATCAAACATGAGAAAGGTCATCTGCACTGTGACCCCAATTCAGTGCCCCCGCTCACATTCAAGGCTGGCCAGTCCTCATTGGATCTGCATTCACATTCAAGCCTTGTCTTCATCTCTACAGACTCCGAGGACCCCCTGTCCTCCTGAACTTTCCCCTGACCAATTCTCCCCTGTCCCTGCTCTCCTGGGTCCCCTCCTCCTCCCTGGGGGCTCCTGCTGACTCTCCTCCAAGGACTCTCCTCTTAGGAGGCAGAGCTGGCTAGGTGCATCCAGGCTACTTCTCCTCCCAGTCCTCACACATTCCTGGGGACCGCCCTTCTCAAGACACCAGTGCCCATCACACACATACTGGACTGTGCCTCTGGGTTCAGGACTCCCATGAATGCCCTGGTTGTCTGCACTGGGCGGTTGGCTGAGTGCTGTCACAGGAGCCCTGAGCTGGAAGCCTGGGAGCCCCACCTGCTCCTACTTCCTCCTGAGGACACTCCCCTGACCTCCCACCACCCCTGCCCTGGTCCTACCCCCGTCTTCTCTCCTCTCAGTGAAGCCACAACCTCCAGATTCCATCTTCCCCAATTACCAGGCTCTCCCTGACCAGTGTCCACCCTCCACGTTATTTTCTAGGGCTCCAACACACCACCCATTTGACCATTTCACCCCTGCCTCCCGAGCCCACACCACCCCCACCTGGCATCAGGGCCTAGACGGTTGCTGTTCTTAGTTTTCCTCACCTCACAGGTGCAGGCCTCGGGTGTCAGGCTGCCCTGTCCACCCCAACCCCTCAGGCCCCTCGGAGCCTCCTGCCCGTCTCCCATCTCTGCCCCTGATCCCTCTGCTTGCCCTGACCTTCCTCCTTGGGAAGCCTTCCCTGACGTCCAAGGAGACTCAGCACCTCCACCTCTTGGCTCCCACAGCCTTCAGGAAGTCTCTTCTGATTTGACCCCAAGTGACTTTCTGCCCCGTGCCCTGATTGGGATACCACGCTGGGGTGGCCAGTGTGCAGGGTGGGTTGAGAACACAGCTGGGAGGATAATGAACCAAAGGAATAGAGGGGCCACAGGCTGAGAAGGAAATTCTTGTACAGGTCTTGGGAGGAATGACCATGTAGTTGCGAGGTCTGGGGTAACTCTTGGGCTCAGTTGTTCCTATGGGACCCCTGGGGGCTTGGGCAGGGCCCCTCGGAAGGTGGCAGCTGCATGGATGGCGCTGGTTACACATCAGCCTTGGAGAAGGAAGAAGAGGTGAGCCTCTGATGTGGTTTCACAGTTTAGGTATTGCCTCAGAGGATTTTTGGTCAAAGATGGAAAAGGAAGTGATTACAGGAGAAAATAATTGGCGACACGTGTGGTTACTGGTGTCTGGCACACTTCCTGTGCTTTCCTGCCTCTGCATCATTGCATTTCCTAAACCTTAGCACTGAAGTCCCCTTCCCCATCCTTCCATGGGGACAGGTGGCTGCTCAGGGATGAGGTCTGATAAAGGAAACCACCTTGGAAAAGAACTTGGGAACACTTGGCCTGTAACCGATGCTCCATAACAGCTGTTAATATCAGCAGGGCCAGAAGCTGCCCCCAGCAGCTACCCAGGTCCTTAGACTCTGGAGTCAGGCAGACAGGGGTTTGAATCCTTGGTTTGCATCTCACCAGCTGTGAATTCCTTGCAAATATTCTGCTCTGGTGGGACTCTCAGCAGTGAGTGAAAGTAAACCCAATTCACATGGCGTCAGACACAACTGAGAAACCCCCATGGCTCCATTTTCCTGCAGTTCTCTCTCCAGGCTCTTGCTTAGAGAGAGAGAAGCAGGGTGAGAGGGAAAGGAGAGTGCAAATAGCAGCCTCAGGAGTGGGAGGACCTCTGTGGCCGCAGTAGCTGTGCCCTGAGATGGTCGGACTGGACCCTGGGATCTCTGCCCACACCCCCTCCTAACCCAACAGAGGATCACCAGCCCAGTGATGGGAGCACAGTTCCCGGCAGAGGCTGCAACAAGACTGTTGTCACTACCTCGTCCCCATGCTGGGGCGCCCACCTTTGCCAGTTCTCCTCTATCTCCCCTCCCAGTCTGGTTGAGCCAGATGTCCTTTCCCATCATGCTCTGCACTTAAACCCTAACTGGACAAAACACAGCCTCATCTGTGTTTATACATGTCCTCATTCCAGCCCAGAGCCCAAGACCTCCCAGCAGAGAGCAAAGTGGTGAAGAGAACGAGCAAGGCCAAGGCTGAGCGCCTTGACTTCCCATCCCTCCCTCTGCCCAATCTGCTGACCAGTGGTGTGAATGTAAAGCCGACTCTCACCAGCTGCCCTTCCTTCTCCTTGTCTGTAAAATGCACGGAAGGCCCTCCTCTCCTCCGTGGAGAAATTTTCCCCCTCTGACCTTGAAGCTGAGGGTCAGAGGGGTCAGTTTCCAGAGAGCCTTCTCCAACTCCTGGGGGGAAGAGCAGCTGCCCACTGCATACTACCCCTCAACATGCTTACTAGGAGAAAGCCCACACAGCACAATACATTATCGGGGTCTCCCCAGAAGTCCCACTCTTCAGAAGCCTCCCTCATGGACACTCACTCACATGGCTGAGGACAAAGGAACCAAGATGTCTTCTGCATCTTCTTTTAGCCTTGGGAACTGAAAACCTTCCAGACATGTGTAACTGGGAATGCTATGTCCATTCTGTGCCCGAGGGTGCAACCATTTAAAACCAATGATGTATAAACTCCACAAATATTTCTCAGTAGTGAAAGTAAATATATTCTGGTATATTCATACACTGGAATACTAGGTGGTAGTGATTTAGCCGCAAAGTCATGTCCAACTCTTTGCGACCCCATAGACTGTAGACCGCCAGGCTCCTCTGTCCATGGGATTTTCCAGGCAGGAATACTGGAGTGGGTTGCCATTTCCTTCCCCAGGGGATCTTCCCCACCCAGGGATCAGTCCTGGGTCTCCTGCTTTGCAGATGGATTCTTTACCAACTGAGCCACCAGGGAAGCCCAGAATATTAAGTCAGCAATAAAAAATTGCCCAACTATAATTACATACAAAAATATGATGAGTTCTCACAAACATGTTGCATGAAAAAATTGTGCAAATGAGACTATATATGCTACAATATAATTTTGTATGAATTTTTCAAATCCTAGTTACATTAACCTAAGGGTTCCAAAGTCAGGGCCATGGTTATGGAGATGTTGAAGCAACTAGAAGGGAGATAAGGAGATTTCTAGGTGCAATGCTATTGTGTTGTTTAGTCACTGAGACGTGTCTGGCTCTTTTGCAACCCCGTGGACTATAGCCGGCCAGGCTCCTCCGTCCATGGGATTTTCCGGGCAAGAATATGAGAGTGGGCTACCATTTCCTCCTCCAGGGGATCTTTCTGATCCAGGGATCAAACTCACATCTCCTGAACTGAGAGGCAGATTTTTTCCCACTGAGCCACCAGGGAAGCCCTTCTAGGTTCATTACACAAATGTGTTTGTACAGCAAAAACTCTACAAGTTGTGCACTTATTGTCAGTGCCCAATTCCTATGTACATACAATATGTCAACTCCCTGGGCTTCTTCAACTACTGTGCTACTCTGACCACTTTGTAAAATCCTTGATTCTCCTGGGCTTACAGCACAGCCCCAACCCTCCCACCTCTTGTACCACCACACTGGACACCTTGGGTCCTTCTCCACATCAGGCCCCATACTTGATTCACTGACAAAGCCTGCTGACCTCCCAGCCAGGGGCCAATTACATCTCCCTTCTCAGGGACTGAAATGAAATACATTCATTTTTTGTTGCTGTAAGCAGTGTTCACATATGCGAGTTCATGGTCAGGTCTGGGGCATAGAGGGACCTGAGAATAAAGATGCTGTCCTGGTTCTCTTAGCCTGCTGCCTGCCCCCCATCCCCTCCTGGTTGTTACAGGAGGTTGTTGTAATGGTTGTTACAGAAATAACAACCATTTCTGTACTGTGCATTTGTGATCTCACACACACACACATACACACACTAAACCCACACACTCTCACAGAGACACACATACACACACACACACACACACAGGAGGGCTCCCAGAGGTAAGGATCTGGCCCCTCTAAGTGAGAGAAGACAAGTGAAATTAAAGCTTGGAGGAAGTTGTTTTCAGAAGACTTTACTTTCTCAGAATCCAAAAGCCTGAGCCAGGGAGGACACGCATAGGATTCTTCCATGGGCTCGCAATTTACCCAAGATTGAGTAGCGGGACGAACGGAACAACTTTCTTAATGTATTTTCGCAGCTTCTTACGAAATCGTTTAAATCTCCCAACACTCTGCAACTATGAACCAGGAAGAGCCAGGTTACTTGTGGGAAAGGGAACCAGGGTTAAGAGCAGACCCATCTGAACCATACACCAGCCCCCAGGCCCACACTAGGAGATTTGGGGCCCCAGGGTGCCCTCTGGCTGCAACCTTTGAAGCACAAGGTTGAATCCCGACACCTAGAGACAGAACAGCAAACTGAGGCCCTCGAGTGACAAGGGGCTCCCCAGGGTCACAGGCCCATCCCAGCGAAGGTGGAAGGGAGCTGGGGCTAAAACATCATTACTTGAGTCAGTGCCTCTCAAACCGTCCGAATCCCTGAAGGCATTGTGAAAAGATAAATGGCTGCACCCCACCCCAGAGTCTGAATCAGGAGGTCTGAGTTGGGCTGAGAATGTGCATCTCTGTCAGTTCCTAAGTGGGGACCCCACTAGAGAACCACTGCTCTAAGAGACACAACCACTGCTGGAGACCTGGGGCTCGCGGGAGGGAGTGGCCAGGGTACGAGCGCCCGCCTCTGCCCTGGATGGGGAAGGGGGTTTTGGTCCTAAGGATGTTCCACAACCCATCACCCTAGCAGTTCCTGCAGTACAGAAGGAGCCACTGACCTCCTCACAGGTGATGTCCATTTTGCCTTTCACCACATCCAGAGTGACTGTCCCCACACACTGCTTCACCAGCTGGAAGGAGAGGCTGGAGGTCAAACTGGAACCGCTGGGCCATAATCTTCCAGGCTCAGCCCAGGGACTAAAAAGCCCCTTGTTCAGCAGCTTGGGAAGCATTCAGCCACATCCCCAGCCCCCAGGCTCACCCCATTCTCCTTGAAGTCACACTGCTCCGGGGGCTGCTGGCTTGTCCTGGGACACACGGTCTCCTTCACCCTGAAGCTCACAGGCTTCGGGACATTTGGGTTCTCATCCTGATCCAGGAATAAAATGGGGAGACTGGGCTCGGGCTCATGTTTCCTTCTCTGATCTGTCTCCCTGCCCCCACCCAGACGGCAGCCTCTCCAGCCTCCTGTGTGTCCGGCCCTGGGCTTGGTGCTGGGAGCCCAGGGGAGGGGACAGAGCCCGTCCCCAGCCTCACGGGCTCACAGAGAGCAGGAGCGGACCGCACAGCAGTGCTGAGGGCAGCGCCTCCCCGCAGAGGGGCTGAGGGAGGTCAGGGCCACCTGCAGGGAGAGCCCTTGTACCTGGAATCTCCAGGCTGACAGAGGCCTCCCTGGCAGGGAGACACCGCGGTGCAGTGGGGGCTTCAGCAGGGACGTCCCCTCACAGAGCCTGTGACCCCCTCCATCCCTGGAGCTCCCGGAAGTCCTGGGAGACAGGTGTGCAGGGCGCCTGTTCCCACAGCAGAGATGCTAAGGCAGGAAGCCTGGGGCTGGGAGGGGACCCAGGTCTGGGAAGGTTTTCTGGAAGAGGTGGGAGCCACCTAGAGGGAGAAGTGCCTTCCTGACAGGAGGTACAGCCTGAGCAAAGGGAGGGATAATGTGACCAAGGCTGGGGGCAGACAGCCCCCTCCCCACCCTATTCCCCAACTCACCTCCTTGAAAGGCGGGTCTAGCTCCAGGAGGCGGTAGAGATTAGCTTCTGAAGACCTCTCATTGATGCGATCCACAGCGTGAAGCACAGCTTCCCTGTAGCTGAGGACCTGGGCACAGGCCGAGGGCAGCACTAGTCCCAGCAGCAGTAGCCACAGTGACCACCGTCCCAGGGAGAGGCTGGCCCTCTGGGTCTCCATGGTCCCCAATTTGCCACCTCCAAGACTGCAGGGTTGGCCTTTATGCTCAGCCTGGGCCTAATGCAGTGGCTCAACCAGGAGTCTTCCTGACCCACCCCATCCCTGCCCTCCTCCCAGGGTGTGAGGTGGACTTGGCTCAGCCCCTGCTGTTGCTTTATGGAATTTCTGAGCAGTGGGCAGGGAGGCCCCTGTGCAAGGTGAAGAAATGATTTCTCCATCTCCTGACAACCTCTTGGCCTTTCCTGAACCCCATGAGGAGTGTCACAGGCAGTCTTGCTCAAGAAGATTAAGTCCTCCAGGAGATGGAGGGGCCAGGCACTATCTATATCCCCTCTGCCTCCACACCTCAGGATTCAGTGTAAAGGAGTGTATTTGCTATTCAACCTGCTTCACTGAATACGTTAAAGACTTTGACTGTGAGGACCATAACAAGCTGTGGAAAATTCTTAAAGAGATGGGAATACCAGACCACCTGACCTGCCTCCTGAGAAACCTGTATGCAGGTCAAGAAGCAACAGTTAGAACTGGACATGGAACAATGGGCTGATTCCAAATTGGTAAAGGAGTACATCCAGGCTGTATATTGTCACCCTGCTTATATAACTTATATGCAGAGTACATCATGCAAAACACTGGGCCAGATAAAGCACTAGCTAGAATCAAGGTTGCCAGGAGAAATCTCAGATATGCAAATGATACCATCCTTATGGCAGGAAGTGAAGAGGAACTAAAGAGCCCCTGATGAAAGTGAAAGAGGAGAGTGAAAAACAGGTTTAAAACTCAACATTGAAAAAATTAAGATCATGGTATCTGGTCACATCACTTCATGGCAAGTAGATGGAGAAGCAGTGGAAACATTGACAGACTTCATTTTCTTGAGCTCCAAAATCACTGTGAGTGGTGACTGCAACCATGAAATTAAAAGACGCTTGCTCCTTGGAAGAAAAGCTATGACAAACCTAGATAGCGTATTTAAAAGCAGAGACATTACTTTGCCGGCAAAGGTCCATCTAGTCAAAGCCATGGTTTTTCCAGTAGTTATGTATGGATGTAAAAGTTGAGCAGCAAAGAATTGATGCTTTCGAACTGTGGTGTTGGAGAAGACTCTTGAGAGTCCCTTGGACTGAAAGATCAAACCAGTCAATCCTAAAGGAAATCAGCCCTGAATATTCATTGGAAGAACTGATGCTGAAACTGAAGCTCCATTATTTTGGCCACCTGATGAGAAGAGCCGACTCACTGGAAAAGACGTTGATACTGGAAAGATTAAAGGCAGGAGGAGAAGGGGACAACGGAGGACAAGATGGTTGGATGGCATCACCGACTCAATGGACATGAGTTTGAGCAAACTCTGGGAGACAGTGAAGGACAGGGAAGCCTGGCGTCCATGGGGTCACAAAGAGTAGGAAACAACTGAGTGACTGAACAACAACCCCTCCTCTAGGCACCCAGCAGGCACAGAGGTAAAGTTGGATGAGTGGATGACAGCTCCAATCCCTTCTACAGTCTCACCCATCTAGCCTGTCCTTAGGCAGTCACAAGGTCAGACCATCCTCTTCTTTCTGCAACCCTCAGCCAGTCAGGGTGTCGGCTTCACCTGTCCCCTCTCCTACTCTTCTCCTCTGCCTTCCTCACGCTAAAGATGTCAGCAGTTGTGGCCTGTTGGCTACACTCAACCTCTTTATCTTCACAGGTGCTGGGGAAACACTGTGTCTTCCTGAAAATGCCCTCTGCCCATGTCCCCTGTCCCTGCCCTCCTGGGTCCCCTCCTCCTCCCTGGGGGCTCCTGCTGAGTCTCCTCCAAGGACTCTCCTCTTAGGAGGCAGGGCTGGCTCAGGGCGCATCCAGGCTGCTTCTCCTCCCAGTCCTCACACATTCCTGGGGACGGCCCTTCTCAAGACACCAGTTCTCGTGAACACACATCACTGCTCTGTCTCTGGGTTCAGGACTCCCATGAATGTCCTGGTTGTCCACACTGGACTGACGGCGGGGTGCTGCTGCAGGAGCCCTGAGCTGGAAACCTGGGAGACCCACGTGCTCCTTCTTCCTCCTGAGGACACTCCCCTGACCTCCCGCCACCCCTGCCCTGGGCCTACACCATGTTCTCTCCTCTCAGTGAAGCCACAACCTCCAGACTCCATGTTCTCTGATTTTCAGGTTCTCCCACACCACAATTCTCCCTGCATACCAATTTCTAGGTACTAAGACAAAATGCTGATTTGACCATTGTATCCCCTGATTTCAGAATACAGATTCCAGCTTGGCAGTCGGGTCTGAACCTTGACAATCCCATTGTCCACAGTGGGGACATCCCTCCAGTTCTCAGGTGTCAGGGTGCCCCACCCACCCCAACAACAAGCCACCTTGGAGCCTGCTGCTCTTGTCCCATCTCTGCACCTGATCCCTCTGCTTGACCTGCCTTCCACCTTGAGAAGCCTTCCCTGACCTCAACCACACAAGGAAACTCCTCCTCTTGGCTCGCAGAGACTTCAGGACATCCCTTCTGATTTGACCTCAGTGACTCCCTGCCCAGTGCTCCGGTTGGACACCGATGGGGGTGGGGGGCAGGGCCCACTGGGAGGACAAGAGAGCACAGCCGGGAGAAACAGTGTGCCCAAGGGACAGAGGAGTCCTGAGACCATGAAGCCCATTCTAATCCATCACCAGCATCACTAATCCATTCTAATCCTCATGTGCCCAGGAGGCCTGGGGTGACTCGTGGACTCAGTTGTCCTGTGGGACCCTTGGGGGCTTGGCCAGGCTGCGTTGGATGGTGGCAGCCTGGATGGACAGTGCTGGATGCCCGCTCAGTCTTGGAGAAAGAAAGAAAGTTGGGCTTTGTGAAACCTGGTTACACAATCCAGATATTGCCTTGGTCAAGCTGTATCCTTTTCCCAAGTCAGAGGAGGAAGGGGAGATGATTACAATAGAAAATAGCTAGCAATACACATGGTTACTGAAATCCCAACTCTATGGGCCTCTTGACCTCCTGTACCAGCCCGAGCGCTTTGTGAAACCCTCAAGCCCCTTGGCTTACTGCACTGCCCCGACCCCACCCCGCTCTGCACCACCACCCTGGACTCCTGAGGCCCTTCTCTCCGATCTGCACATCAAGCCCCATAGCTGGCCTGTCTGAGACGAGTGGACGGACCCTGCAGCGCTCCGCTGTCGTCACAGCCTGTGTTCTCTAGAAGCAGGACCTCGGCATGTGAACTTTGAGGGGGGTGGTCATAAGGAGGGAGGGAGAGGGGAGGAGAGGGAAGAGGAAGGAGCTGAGCAGAGAGGTGCTCACCTCGAGACAAGCCTCGGCCTCACCCACAAAAACCCTGGAACTGAAAGTGCACCCCTGCTTTAGGACTGACTGAGGTGGGAGCAGGGTATTTTGGTCCCCTCACAGTCACACCCACAGGCCGAGTGCAGGGAGGGCACAAGCCAAGCATGTGGTGAACTGATGCTCAGCGCCATTCATGAAATAGTCTGTTACCTGTTTTCTCAGACGCAAAAGGTCACAAAGGTCAAGCAGCTGACTATCTCACCAATCACTGTAGAAGGCACGGATAAGGCCTGCACACCTCTCTGCCCAGAACCAGTTCTGTCTCCTTCTCACGGGTTGAGATGGAAAAATTGTTTGCATCATTTCCCTTCTGCTATCAGTGGTCACATATGCATGTTTAGGGCCTGGTCCATAGCAAGGGACATATGGTCAACACTGATGCAAAACTGGACAGACAGGACAGACCTGAGGCTGGGGACCTCAGGCAGAGGTGTGACACTTCTGGGAGTGGGCCACCCAAGGAGGGAGGAAGAAGAGGTGTTTTTCCATCAAGTCCCCTCAGTGGTTAGTTGAAGCTGCTCCCTGGATTCAAACTCCCCAGTGCTTCCAGTCTGCCCCAGAGCAAAGATCAGCTAGAGAATGGGGAGCGGGCAGGATATGGGCAGTGTCTGAAACACACAGGCAAGTAGACATGTGACCTCTGTGTCACTCTGTCTCTCACACCCTCATGCAGAGCTCTTCACCCTGATGGACAAGATGCTTGTATTTAATGGTGCAAATTTTGTACCATCCATGACCCAGACAATGGGTCACAATCACGACAATGGTGTGATCACTCACACTCACCTAGAGCCAGACATCCTGGAATGTGAAGTCAAGTGGGCCTTAGGAAGCATCACTACGAACAAAGCTAGTGGATGTGATGGAGTTCCAGTTGAGCTATTTCAAATCCTAAAAGATGATCCTGTGAAAGTGCTGCACTCAATATGCCAGCAAATTTGGAAAACTCAGCAGTGGCCACAGGAATGGAAAAGGTCAGTTTTCATTCCAATTCCTAAGAAAGGCAATACCAAAGAATGCTCAAACTACCGCACAATTGCACTCATCTCACATGCTAGTAAAGTAATCCTGAAAATTCTCCAAGCCAAGCTTCAGCAATATGTGAACCATGAACTTCCAGATGTTCAAGCTGGTTTTAGAAAAGGCAGAGGAACCAGAGATCAAATTGCCAACATCCGCTGGATCATCAAAAAAGCAAGAGAGTTCCAGAAAAACATCTATTTCTGCTTTATTGACTATGCCAAAGCCTTTGACTGTGTGGATCACAATAAACAGTGGAAAATTCTGAAGGAGATGGGAATAGCAGACCACCTGACCTGCCTCTTGAGAAACCTGTATGCAGGTCAGGAAGGAACAGTTAGAGCTGGACATGGAGCAACAGACTGGTTCCAAATAGGAAAAGGAATATGTCAAGGCTGTATATTGTCACCCTGCTTATTTAACTTATATGCAGAGTACATCACAAGAAATGCTGGGCTGGAGGAAGCACAAGCTGGAATCAAGATTGCCAGAAGAAATATCAATAACCTCAGATATGCAGATGACACCACCCTTATGGCAGAAAGTGAAGAACTAAAGAGCCTCTTGATGAAAGTGAAAGAGGAGAGTGAAAAAGTTGGCTTAAAGCTCAAGATTCAGAAAACTAAGACCACAGCATCTGATCCTA